CACATCGAATTTGTTGAGTTCAACTAACCATTTAACCAATCTTCCTGATACATCAGGCTTTGCCAACACTTGTTGTAGTGGTTGATTGGTGAGGACTATGACCGTGTGCACCTAAAAGTAAGGTCAGAGTTTCCGAACTGACACGATCGGGGCGTAGGGTAGCTTTTCTATATGGTGTTGAGTTTTTGCATCTCGTAGCACCTTACTAACGAAGTAAATATGAAGCTAAACTCGACCTACCTCTCTTACAAGCACCAAGCTGATGACTTCATCACTAGCTGATAAAGTATAAAGACAACACTTCTCTGGGCTCCATTATCGTCATCAAAGGAAGTGAGCTGAAGTATTGCTTAAGTTCTTCAAAGGCACTTTGACATTCTGAAGTCCACTCAAAATCTTTAAGTTTTTTTTATTGCTTTGAATAACATTAGGCACCGACTTTCGAGCTTAGCTATGAATCTATTGAGAGCTGCCACTCGTCCAGTTAGTCGTTGAACTTCATTGACACAACTTAGAGGTCGCATGTCTAGTATTGCTTGCACCCTTTCAGGGTTAGCTTCAACACCACGATGAGTTACAATGAATCACAGGAATTTTCTCAATGTGGCACTGAAGACACACTTATTCGGGTTGAGTTTAAGTTGGTACTTTCTCAACACCCCAAATATTTCAATCAGGTCGTCAATATGATCAAATGCAACTTGGCATTTTGTCACCATGTCATCAACACATACTTCAGCATTTCTTCTTATTAATTCTTTTAAAATTTTATTTACAAGTCCCTAATATGTTTCCCCGGCATTTTTTAAACCAAAAGGCATTACTTTATAACAGTACAACCAAGATTTTGTTACAAATGTTGTTTTTTTTTTCATCTTATGGGTCCATCGGAATCTGATTATATMCCGAGAATGCATCCATAAATCTCAACAACTCATAGCCCGAAGTCATGTCGACTAGGCGGTCAATCATGAGTTATGACCAAATGGTCGACTCCTAGCATGTCGGCTGCGGACTAGGAAAAAACATTAGAATTCAAATATAAAAATCTTACTATCCGATCTTGTTGATCTGGGGGAAGGAGTGAGCCGATCTACATTGTTCTTTTAGGTTCAATTGCTGAGATGGGCACTGCCATTGTTTGCTCGATGGGTTGAGCTCATATGGCATTCTCTTTTGTAAGTCAATCCAAATCAACTGCTACTATCACGGCCTTCTTGTCGCCTTCTTCTTTGGTTTCCTCGGCTTCTCTTCCTTAGTGAGTTGTTTTCCCTTCAACATTGTCATGTAGCACTGTCGAGACTCAATTTGGATTCCTTGGATTGTCCTCATGCCGTGCTTTGTTGGAAACTTCATTGTTAAGTGAAAAGTCGATACCACAACGTAGAGGGAATGCAGTAGAGGTCTTCCTACCATGATGTTGTAGGGAGAAGGTTAATTGACTACCAAGAGTTCAGTCATAACACTAGCCTATATTGGCACGGTCCCCGATACTATAGGCATGCATATCTTGCTAATTGGCATGATTGTTTATCTTGAAAACCCAACCAGAGGTTGATTGCTCGGGGTGAGTTGTTTCCTATCCGGTCTCATATGTTCAAAAGTAGACAAAAACAACACATCAACTTAACTACCATAATCAACTAAAACTCTTTTTACCAGGTAGTTTGCCACCAATAAATGGACGACCAAGGCATCGTCACAAGGGAATCGAACATCCTTGATGTCGTTGTTTATAAACACGACCGGCTTGGTATATCATGTCCCACTGTCTTGTGGAACTTACAATATTTCTTATGGTTTCTCTTGGTYAGGTTGCCTTTTAGCTTATTGGGCCATTTCAAGTACTATTCCCTTTGAATTTGCATTAGAATTTGACCTTGGGGGGCATTCAGGGGAGTATATGCTTTGAAATTCCGAGGTGGAGTCCGAGAGTGAATTGACACCCCTTCACCCTTAGAACCCTTTGCCTTCTTTCTTCCTTATCAGTCGTCACCATTCCTCTTGCGCTTCTTTTTCTTTTGGTCCTTATTCATTAGGTATGCCTCATTGGCATTCATGTACTTGGTTGCTCGGTCTAGGAATTCCTTCATGCTATGAGCTGGTCTCTTTGTCAATGAAAATCTGAAGTACTTATCTTGGACACCTCGTATAGAAACTACCATCTCAACAGCATGATCGAGGTCGAAGACTTCTAATTCCTCAAATTTGAATCTCTGCACGTATTCCCGTAGAGTCTCTCTAGGCTTTTGCTTGATATGCACCATCACTGCGGTTTTTTGGCATCTACGACTCGTGGCAAAGTGGGTTATAAATAAATCATAAAACTGGGTCCAACTGCGTATGGACCGAGGTGGCAACCCAAAATACCATAATTAGGCTGCCTGCCCCATGAAACAACATTAGGGCCTAACAACTCTCTACATGATCCACTAGATTAGTGGTTCCATCATAAGTTTCAAAAGTAGGGGTCTTAAACCCCATAGGTTTTGGTTTTAAAAGGATCTCTGGAACAGTGGGGACGCTTTGGCTATGTTGGGTATTGTAGCAATTGACTTACTTAGCGTCTCTGGGTGAACGGAGTTTAGCTTGTCTGAGTGCCACCATCAGTCACCTTGGAGATCTCCTGGTATGTGCTACCTCCACTCCTTGTATGTTCGGCAGTTCATGAGTGTTTGCTTTTGGGGGAGTTCGATCTGCTCACCTCCTTAGAAGCATGGGAACGTTGAGTAGAGAGATCGGGTTGCCGATGTCAACTGTGCCTATCTCATCCTTCCTCTGCTCTCCTGTCCACTCGTTCACCCTAATGTCGATCACATCATAAAGGTGACTTGCCTCTATGCTTGGGGCATACTTCGTCACGTAAAGTTGGGGTGTTAGCCGGTGATTGAGGTGGTTGGTGCTTGTTTACTTGCTGAATGGATTGCACAACTTGATTTTGCTGGACTGGTGGAAATGGCTAATCGATTGGTGGTGGAAGTTACCGGTTTCTACTGCACCATGGCTTCTATTGTTGCATCCCTCGTCGCTCGACTTACATTTTGCATGATCTCATCTCTTGCTCGAACTTAGAGGTTCATGTCTTTTACAGTTTGTACTAGATTATTGAATTCTTCACGGGTGACTCCCTCCAGCGCCTATGGAGATGGGGTTCACCGGGAATGCCACTGTGAAGTCTTGCCGGGAGAATGGCGAGAGGTCTTAAGGGTGTATTTGGATGTTTGAGGCATGTCGGCAGAGGAAATTTGGTAGAAGAGATGGATTTTAGTCATTGATTCCTATAGATGGCACCAGTTGATGCCACTGAAAAGCGGTGAAGTCTCTGGAAGAGTTCAGACGTATCCTGTAAAGAATAAACAAGGTCAGAGGGCCCGGGGTGATATCCCGGGCTTATAGCTCCGACGGTCAAGTCAATAAACCGAAATAGCCAGAGGGTGGTTGAGATTTCAGTGAGTCATAGAGTATGAATTGAATGCTAACCTTCCCCTTAAATAGGATTCGGGATACTTGTGAGAGTGTGTACATGTATGACAGACGTAGGACACATGGAGGTTGCTTTGCCTTGGCGGAGCTCGAGTAAAACACCTGGGGCTCTATTAGGATACCTGTTACTCGATCTTGGCCACATAGTGCTCAATCCAAACATTTGTGGTCTGACTCAAGCCGGCTGGTATTCGGTCGGGACACTTGGGATCCAGCTTAGGCACCTGGAGCCTAATCAGGGCAACTAGTTTAGCCACCTATAGCATGCATTAGCCACCTGATGCATAGCTGTGACATGCTATGGTGATATGTCCTCCATGTCTTCAATGCATGAAGTGGGCCCAAAATCGGCTACCTGGTAGGTTTACCTTACGTATTGATGATATTGTTTCATGTGCCACCAAGTGGTCACTTGAACATGTGTCGAAGTGTGGAGCTCATCTGGAAGGGAGCTCGTCTTGCTATGAAGGAGCTCTCCTGGATGGAAGCTCATCTCGGTATGGAGATCTCCTAGGAGGCCGATAAATCCCATACTACGAGTTGAGTTGAGAGGGGTGAGGTGGTCTTATATGTGGACGAGGTGACTCTTATCCCTTGTAGACCTGTTCATGGGCCGGGTAGCCCGACGGCCCGGCCCGCACCCCGGTCGGGCTTGGTCATATAATTAGGCCCGCGGGCCTGACCTCGGGCTTAACACAATAAGCCCGACTGTGTTTCGGGCCGGGCTCGGGATTTGTCAAAAAAGCCCGGCCTGAGCCCAGCCCGGTCCGACTCAGTATTATATATTTTATAAAATATATAAATAATATAATATTTATTGATATATATATTTTATTATTTTCTTTATAATTTCAATCTATCTCTCTCTCTATTTAGCTGCTTCAACATTAATAATAATAATAGTATAGGCTAAATTTTGGGCCCGGGCCCAGGCTCGGGCTTCGGATTTTTTATGAGGGCTGGACTCGGGCCCAAATTGTAGGCCCGATGGTTGGGCCGGACTCGGGCTTAGGCCTTAAAAAAATTTGTTAATACACAGTAAAAGCCCGACCCATGAACAAGTCTAATCCCTTCACATGAGGTCGGATTTGCGGATCTCATATAGGACGTGAGGGTTTTSACGTGATGGTTCTCTTGAGTTGAAAGACAAACAGAAAACTGAAAAGGCTGGAGCATTACTAACGAGTCTGCAACGATATTTGGCCTCACAATCAACGTACGACCCCGCGGGAGATGTTCGTATTTGTGAGGCAACGATATTTGGCCTCACAAATGGGCTTTTCAAAGATACATCCACGGTGCACTGGTATCATCTCCCATCAATATTCACTAATAAGTATTAGTACGGGAGATGTTTCTAGATGTGCGTGTAAAACGCTAGTGAGGCGCCAGGTGTGAGGAGCAGATCCGGTCTCTGCGGCCACGGTTTTAACTTTTATCTCGTAAAAATGAACATCAAACAGCGACGTATCCTGCAGTTGCCGAGTTGCGTAACTCGTTGTTTTATAGCATTTTTCGATAGACAGAGCCACAGAGGACTATGTATTTTCCGAAACCCAGCCCAGGAATAATAAGAACCAAACCAACGTGGCAACGACCAAACGACCGTGTTCCCACTTTCCTGTTTAGTCCAAATATCAGCTTACTTCATCGTCTGGTGTCTCTCTGTTTTCCATTTCTCTTGATAGGGCACCGCAACATTGAAACCCGCGGACCCCATTCCCGCCCTTTCCGTAAGAATAAAATAGGAGAGAAACTTCGAAGTCTTTACGTACACCCATTTGGCGCGTGAATAAAGTTCGGTGCATCTTCCTACGCCCCCGCCGCCGGAGAAGATTGCAAGCACTGTTACATTCTAGGGTATCTCCTGCTCATAAATTTGCGCTTCCCGGCCTATGCTGCTCCGGGATTCCTGAACTCCTGTCCGAATTCCTGTAACTCTCTCCCCCTTCTCTGCATTATTTTTATGTATGTCTATTCTCCACTATAAGAAGATTTGCTGCCATAACTGCTTTACTTACGTTGTGTCTGGATTTTGGAACCCATGTGGATGAAATCAATTGCACTTTAGTGTAGTTCATGGCATTTGAAAGCGTAAGTTTATGAATTGGAATGGAGCTATTAGCTGAATAGTAAATATATAGGTTATCTGCTTCAAATCCTAAAATAACAATAACCTCCAACTATAAATCCAGTTTAAGCAACATAATTTTGGCGTCAAATGCAGTGAAAACCATTTCATTCCAGGCGGCTTCTGAAGTTCTAAGGCTGTTCGGAGTAAACATTCATGTTGAAAATTTCGTAATTATTTGGGTTCTAAAATTTGGAGGTTAATTTAAGATGCACAGTTAAGGCGAAGTCGTACTCTACGTGCCACCAAAAAAAAAAAAAAATCCTGTTTAGGAATTATCCTTTTGCGATTTGACATCTCTGGACAAGGCACCGTGATGCTAGCATTGCTCTTATTCTAAACTATATTTTGTTTTATTTCTTTACTGATGATTTGCAGTCTGGACTCTCCCTCGTGTCTTGTGATCTGGCTCGAACGGGTCCAACTTGGCAGTGACGAGCTGTATGGCAGGAGTAATCTCTGAGAACATAAGGGAACTTTGAGGGTATCAGTGTGCATACCTTTATGGGTGGATTTGGACGTCTTATATAGGCCCCTGGACTCTGGGGGCTCAGGGTAACAGTTTTGAGTTCTTTGTGGAGTTGTTTCCTTATTTTTCAGGCACATTAAGGTGTCAATTGAGATGTTTTCGCAAGAATTACGATTCGTTCACGTAGAATCTGGCGCGCAACATGATGAGCTGTTCTAACGGTTGCACTATCGGCGCCTTTGGTAGCGAGCTGCTGGGGACGGTTAGCGAGTTCTTCCTCGCAGGTCGCCTTAGGTCCTCTAAGCTCGGCCTACTCCTAGGACAGCTCACTATAATCCTACGGGGCTGCCAGCTCGGCCTTGCCGATCTGTACTGGGAACTGCAGGGGGTGGTTAGCGAGCTCTCCTTAGCAGGTCGTCTTAAGTCTCTACAGCTCGACTGACTCCTAGGACAGCTCGCCGTAATCCTACGGGGTCAGTTAGTTCGGTCTCTTCAAGGTAGAGGTCGTCTTGGGTGAGATGCTTCAAGCTAATTTTACTGAGCTAGCTCGTTGACTAGGCGCTGAGGTGTAATTTGGATGCCGTGTGTCTCCGAAGGTGGGTCGCCAGGTCTCTAGTAGGTAGGTCTTCAGGTCTCCATCAGGTCTCTGGAGGTAGGTATTCAGGTCTTCATCATTTTGGCTAAGGTAGGTCATCGCCTACGTGGTGTCGGGTGTCATCCAACTGTTTTTGAGATGCCACATGTCATAATGTTAGTGGAGGGCCAAATCTGCCCTCATCATTTACCATGTTCAGTTAAATGTGTTACATGGGTAAATGATTTTTTGAGAGTTATAGTTGAGGTTGCGGCCTTCTTTATCTCTTTTAGTTGGTTGAGAAAACACAACTTGAGATGCCATTTTGACAAATGAAATGCAGTTAGGTACCCGAAACACTTATTGTTGATTCTATTTTACAAACATTCCATGTTTTTGTGAAACAGATATATAAGTTACAGCTTTTATAAGAGGACAAAAGTTGTTCGCATAATGGCACTTTGTTTTGAGGTAAGGACTGAATTTGCATGTATTTTCTGGATTTTGTTTATCGCACTATAGATATTTGTCATTTCTAACTTTTTCCAAACAATATGAATTACCTCTTGGATGAGTCATAGCCTGATTATGTCAACTTTATGATCCATATCTGTCTAGTCTTTGTTTCTTTGTGAATAATTTGTTGAATTCTCTGTATGCAGGTATTGTCAAGGTTCAATCGTGCTCGTGCAGCTCAATTGACACTCCCTCACTTTGTGTGCCAAACACCTTTATTTATGCCTGTAGGAACACAAGGTTGTAGTTTCAATTGTTTGGTCTATTCTTTCTCATTACAATACATAGTTGCACACATGTAAAATATCTCTTTCCAAGATTTTTCACTTACCTTTGCAGATACCATATTAGAATGAATATTCCATTAGTAAAATCTTACTTAATGGCACTTGTTCTGGTTTTGTGGAAACCTTTTTTTTTAATATAATTTCACCAGCACTTATGTTATTTGAGTGTTATATATAACTATGGTATTTGCATATATAGTGGCACCATGATGCAGTCAAAATGAATTATACACGTGTGTGCGTGTTTTCCTGTTCTTATAGGTACAATAAAAGGTTTAACAACAAATCAGCTCGAGGAAATTGGTTGCCARATAGTGCTTGGGAATACATACCATTTGGCACTTCGTCCTACCTCAGAACTGATTGATGAATTGGGGGGTCTTCACAAATTTATGAACTGGCCGAGAGCATTACTTACTGATTCTGGAGGTTTTCAGATGGTTGGCTATTATTTTTCTTTCCATTCCCAGATATTATGGCTTTTTAGTTTGCTTTTCTCAAGTAGTTGTTCTATTAAGAAATTGAATCTCAACTCCTTATGCCCCATCATTGCTATATCTTGTATCTATTCTACCATAAGGCCATGGATTTCCTGTTTTAAAGCATTGGTTGGATTGAGATTCAAGTTCTTAATAGACTGGAACCCCCTATTTGCTTATTCTACCATTCCGAGAATCCCTTATTTGCTAAAGTTGTTTATTTATTCATCCTAATAAAAGATATTTTTAGAAAGCAATTAAAATTATAATATTTTATAAGGATTAAGAATTTAAGACCCTAACATGGACTTGTTTGGGTTTGGCTCAAGGGGCTTGGTACAATGGCGGCTTGTAGAATCAGGAATGTGAAATGTTTAACATCACCTTAGCCATTTGAAGTATGCAATTGAGAAAAAATAAAGTGATTGAAAGTCTCACATGCTTGAATATGTTTTATATGTTATGTTTGATTTTATTTCTACAATTTCATTTTGAATATATTTTACATATTTTGTTTATGTATTTTAATTTGAAACAACAGGTTTTTGAAGCATTTATTTTAGAATTTAAGTTTATTTTTTAATCAATAGTTTTATTTTTTATTTTTTTGCATTTATTTGAGTTTTGGCTTTTTCTTGCATTTTTTGCGCCTTGCTTTGCAAAGTACACACCCCACCATGTGCCTCGAGTCTTGGGTGCAAAATGTCCCTTGTGCTTTTTTTTTGTGCCCTGCGCTTTTAAAACACTGGCCACATGAACCCCAAATAACTGGGTATAATGCTTCCAAATGCTATAAGAGAATTTGCAATGGATGAGCAATAGACACTGATTCTTCCTCATTACATAAGCTACAGATGTCAACTAAACGCATATCCTTGGACTGCAAGTGATTGATAGTCAAGATTTTGTACACTAAGGGGGGTTGCTGGGTTATGAATTGATTCTCGGTATTGGAGTGAGTTTGGTTCTGTTCTCTTGTTTTCTAATTCATGGGTAAATAAATCCTGTATTTAAAAGGGGTGAAGGGTTGTGAACTTGTGATGATGTAGGTCTTGGCTGTTGAATTTGTGGGGTGATATCTTGTCACCTGATTGCTTCTCATTATTTAATAAAATTTTTCATTTTTATTTATTTTCAAAAATAGTCAAGATTTTGTCCAGAATAGCAAACCAAAAGAGGAAAGTAGTTTTAGATGGAGCTTTTGAAGTCCAGATCCACCTCCAAACCACTGGTGACCTGTTAGATGCATTCAATTTAGTAAAAAAACGACTTCACAGAGAAGGAATCCGCCTTAGATGTAGTTTACCTCATCTGATTTTCGGTGCTTGGATGAGTGTTGTTATTTAACATATGAATCAGCTCCTCAATTTCCCAATCAATCATTCATTCCTGGAGACCAGACCACATCCCTAGCTATGATCTCAGAACAGTCTCTAATGGATGCCTTTTTATTTAGGGCCAAATTGTACATGTGAGGGTAGGACTGCCTTAGTGGTCTTGATGGCTTGAACCACACCATATATCATTCTAAAAGGATATTCTTTCCCCATTCTCAACTTTGATGGCTCTAAGAATACTCTTGAATCTTCATTACTCCTCTCCATATATTTGTGCCATAAGTGAGGAGAGTCCCAGTGGACCAATCATATACATGACTGCTATATTTACTCCTAATCACCCTTCTCCTTAGCACTTCCTTTTGAACACAGTATCTCCATGATCACTTTCCTAAAATGTTTTTGTTCATAGAATGAAGAGGTTTGGTGCCCACTTTCACCTCCTTTGGTAAACAAAACTAATTCTAAGCAACAAGGTGAAATCTCTTATCATCATGCATCCTATCCCACAAAAAATCTCTTCTTGCTTTCTTCAATGAGCTTAACACTGAAGACTGAACCTGGTGCAATGAACAAAGAGAAGAAATATATTGACGAACTAGATAAGGCATTCTTTATTGGTGTCACCTTACCCCCCTGACAAATATGCGTTCTTCCAGCCCACCAAATTGCTAACTATTGTCGGTGTTGACAGCTCCGACTCATAATTTGCTCCAAAAGGAAGACTTAAAAAATTTTGATGGAAGTGACCCACATCTACAGCCAAAAACAGAATCCAACTCCCTACAATTTTGATTTTCAGCCCTGAAGCTGCCTCAAAACAAATCAGTAGACATCTTATAAACATCATATCCTCAGCTTTGGCTTTTGAAAAAAAATTGAGTCATCTACAAATTGAAGGAAGGAAATTGAGGGGCTACCATGACTCACCTTAAAATCCCCTTCCCTTGCCCTTTTAATTAACCTTCTTTGTGCATCCATTATGACAATAAAGAGAAGGGGGGGGGGAGACCGGATTTCCTTGTTTGAGACCCCTCTTTCCCTCAAGGTATAATTTTGGTGATCCATGCATTGTTGAACTTGAAAACCTGGCTGAAGACAACAGGTCCTTTATCCACTCTCTCCATTTCAACTTAAACTGCATTGTTATTAAATGTTGTAGGAAACCCCATTGACCATGGTCATAAGCCTTTTCCATGTCCATCTCACTCTTGGCTCTCCTATTCTAATTCTTGAGTCAATACTCAATGGCAATAAGAAAATTGTCCAAGATTTGGTGACCATCCATGAACAGTATTATCATATAATATAGCATTCATGGGGCTTTGAACAATGGTTGGGATGTGAAGGCCTTACATCTTGCTTCAACTGCTTTTCCTTGGAATGCCATTATGAGGTACTCCCTACTTTCCTAAGTTTCGCTAGGTTTGGTGTTGGTAGTGGAAATAAAGTTCTCTTTTTGGAAGATTTTGGTTGGGTGATACTACTTTAAAAGCCCAATTCCCTTTGCTGTACTCCCTCTCTCTYTCTCCAATTTCCATAAAAAACCCATTGTTTTTTTCCTAGAGTACTTCTTCTGGCTTGAATTGGGACTTTGGTTTCAGAAGGGGTTTAAGAGACAGAGGTCATGAACTTTTGATTGATCTGCTGAATAAACTAGGGTCTGCCTTTCTGGATAAAAGAGTGGATGATAATAGAATTTGGAAACCTGCTCCTAGCTTTTTTTCTTGTGCCTCTTTCTTTGACGCCCTAGTCCTTATAGCCTCAGGGGGTCCTATGAAAGAGGTTTAGAGCAAGCCTATCCCTCCAAAAGTACAAGCCTTCTATTGGGAAGCTTTCCTTGGAAAGATAAACACCTAAGATGTACTTCAAAGAAGGAGGCAATGCCTTTCTCCTCATATGTGTGTCTTATGTAAGGCGAATGGTGAAACCACTTCTCACTTATATCCGGTTCTTTTGTGACTTGTATTTGGCTGTGCATCTCCTCTCCCTTTGGTTGCAGGTGGGACCCTCCACAARATATCACTACCTTGTTCAACTCATGATTTTTTAAACAATAAAAGAAGGGGAGAAGACTTCTTTGTAAAGCAGCTAGGGCAACAACAATTTGGACAGTTTGAGAAGAAAGAAATGAAAGAATATTCAAGGAAAAGAGCAGGAGTTTAGGAGACATTGTTGAAAGTATAAAGGTAAAGAACTAAAGACTGCAGACAGGGTAAAAAGCTTGGAAGCTTTAAAGGGGTGCCTGTAGATGATATTCAAAGAGCCTGGTTTGAAGTTGCAAATTCAGAAATTCTAAAAGATAGAATAATTATGGACTGGAAGCCCCCATTCTAATAGATTAAAATTGAACTTTGATGGAAGCTCAATAGGAAATCCAGGGCTGTCAGGAACTGGAGGAGTATTCAGAGATGCTACAAGGTAAGTGGTGACTGTGTATTTAGGGCCGATTGGAGTAGGGGACTTTGTGAGAGCAGAATTATTAACCTTACATCAAGGTCTTTAGCTAGCAAAACAACCTGATTTTAAGAATCTGGAGATTGAGAGCAAGGTTCAAAGTATCGGAAACACCAAGTGTATCAGAAAGACAATTTTAAAAGACGTATTGGGATACACCTTGGATACACGTGTATCGAAGAAAAATTAAGATACACATGGAAACACTATAAATACTTCAATAAATCATAAAAATATATCAATAACATTAAATATAAGGCCTTAATGATGTTGATAAAAAATATATATAAGGCCTTAATGTGGTATACATATATTAAATTAATATATTTTAATGGGTTTTATGAAGAAACACATCATTATATATATATATGATAGATCATCCTTAGATCTAAAGCATATTAAGTCTTCATAGGTAGATAAAAAATTACATTTTCAAATTTTTTTGTTATTTTATATTTTTCCCAAATCTCTGTATAAAATTTCCATAGATATACTCATAACATAAAAAATTGTGATTTTCAACACAAGAAATGTAGATCAACATATATTTAGACACAAGAAATCACAAGATATTATGAAAAAAAAAAAAACTTTCCTTTCTCAAAACTTGAAAAATCATCAAAAACCTTGAAGATATACACTTGTTTTCTTGTGTTTTTTTTGCAGATCTAGCACTTTAGGAATGAGGTTTGGAGTTTTAGAGTTGTTTGGGGGGGTGTGTGAAAGAAGGCTCATTTTTTGTTTCCGTTTTTTATTTGTATTTTTTTCGCAGTGTATCAACCGATACGCTACCAATACACCTCGATACATGCCTGATACGGTGGAAAAAAAACAATACCATCCATTTCCCACCGTATCCCATATTGAATTTCCAAAGATATGGTAAGTATGCCCTGTATCAGGCATATCATGTTGAAATTTTAAACCTTGATTGAGGGAGGCTCAAAACTGGTAATCTCTTGGATGAATGGCAACAGCTCAAGTATTTGGATTTTCAGACATCAAATCAAGAGCATGGCGAAGGATTTAGGCACAAGCTTCAAATGGGTAAAGAGAACAGCAAATGGAATGGTCGATAGCTTGGCAAAACAAGGGGTGTATAGGGATGTTTTGTTCTTGGCAGATTTGTAATAGGGGCTGTCAAACATGACTTCTAACTTTCTCTCTGTTTGAATACACCTTGTAATGTTTTTCAGTAATTTAATGAATTGAATACTGCTTACTGATAAAAAATATTATCATATAATATAAAATAATATATGTGTGCGTGTGTGTAGTGGTGAGTATTCCCACCTGTCACGCGGGTGACTCAGGTTCGATCCTCGGCAATGGCATCTTTGTTTGTTAATTTGGGGGTTTAAAAAATTTATGTAATATAAAATATGTATATGCAATTATTAATATACTGTAGGCTGAGCATGGCTAGAAATGATCACTCCTAAATTGTGGTCATACGGCCTTCCTAGTTGCCATGGGATGATGGTTTAGGATTAATGAGCAATAATGTGGGTCTTGTATATGAGGGTATCTTTAGTGTTGTTTTGTTTGTGTTGTTTCCTTTATGTTTTTTTTTACAAATACATTATTACTCAATACAGATTGGTACTACAGATACGTAATTTGACAATGAATATGTCATTGAACAGAACAGAATGGCGAAACTAGATTCTTGTAACTGATCCCCTATAGTTGGGACAAGGCTTAGATGATGATGATGACTGATCTAGAAAGAAGAAACATTTTTTTTTCCTGGACTATGAAAAGAAATGGTTTCAGTTTAAGATTGTCATTATGTTTCTAGATTTTGCTGTCACTCTTTTGCATTTCAATGATTACGAGCTTACTTTCAAAAAGAAATAATAATAATGAAAGTATTGTACTTTTTGTGGTGATGGCTTTTCCATTTTGATATGTATAAGTCATACGAAGAGTTAATATTTATGATTAAACTTTAGCAAAGCTTTTATACTATGTTCTATCTGCTATTTCAGGTATCATTGTTGCATTTAGCTGACATTACTGAAGAAGGTGTAACTTTTCAGGTGACTTCTATGTGCTAGTCAGACTTTAGGAAGCATTGCTGGTTCATAAGATTTTTAATCTCTCTCTCTCTCTCATATTCTCTCCCTTAAATTTAAGGCTACCATGCATACATATCTATTTCATCTTGAAGTTTCTTCTCTCTTTTCTCTTGGTCATATTACTTAGACATTTATATAGTGTCACATGAAATATTAAAACCTCTATTTGTGCCTGTGTGCATTTATCTTGTAGGTTTTATAAATAGTAAATACTAGCAAAAGGAGGGGAAAAACTCCAACTGGGTATATAAGAAATAAGCCATTCATACCATTCCTTACAGCAAGAACATGTAACGTTTTGTATACATACACATCAAAGGGAGAATCAAAGATAATCTATTCCTATTGGTATCCAAAACTATCAGGTTTCAGTCCCTCAATGTCTTTAGTGTGGAGGACCACCACAGTAGTTGCTTTTCTATCTTCCCAGTTTTCAATTATCAATTCTATGGGGGTAGTTTTTCCTTTAAAACACATGACCATTTTGCTCCTTCTAAGGGCACCAGCAGTCAAAATGGAGCAAGTTCCATGGGATAGGGCTATAGGTACACATCTACTAAAACTCCTTACAAGCCATGATTAAATCAACATTGATATATCCTTTGACGTTACTCGGGTCTGGTAAAATAACTCAAGAAAATGAAATCAGAGTCCTCCAAAGTTCTGCAGTGTACATCTACTGTTTAGTACCCTTCTGGCAAGGACTGGTGTCCGCCAAAAAAAAGGGAGACTTTGGATAAAACATGGATGCCCAGAACTTATGTTCCAGGGTAGGAATCTTCATAGTTTTCAAAGAGGAAACCACATAAAGACTTCATTTGAGAAAGTGTCATGTTTCATCCACCTTGCATATTCTTCAGTACTCATCTTAGGGAGGCTCTCTTAAGGCAAACTAGGAGATCAACTGAAAGATCAACCTTTGGATTTGTTACATGACATAGTAGATGTGGTCCTCAAACGTCCTGGACCAGTGTTTTAGAAAGTATGCATAGGCTCACAGATGAGGCTCATTTTGTAGGGTGTGCCTCAGTTGGCTTGTTGCTATGTTTTGATGAGTAACCTTGAAATTGATGTTAAATAGGTTATTTACTATTTATAGTGTAGGTTGTACCTATGATGGTTAGAGTTTAAACAATTTAGCCTATATAGGACTTGAACTTTTAAGGTTAAAACCTTTGTGTTACTAAGACAATTATTTAACCAATTGAGCTAATAGGATTTTTAAGATATTTTATTTCCTTTCAGAATTTTGATTTAAATATCAAAATTTTCTTTTTGTTTTTCATCACAGGTGGTGTCTTATTTTGTTAAAGAACAAACATTGCCTTGTGTCTTGTGCTCCTAGGAATCTCTTGTTCTTTAGTTGCACTTCTTGCTTTTAAAACAGTAACCTGGAAGGTATCATCTTGTGATGTTGCTCACCCATGAGAGGTGGGAAAATCAATGCATATGCTCATCTTCCTCTAGTTCCTTAAAAGTGAATGTGCTCATTGTTTAGATGAAGTATAACTTCTTTGTATTACAGTAGAAAAACCAAAACAATTGAAAGGGAGAAAGATGAAGATTCATGCAACTGACCCCTAATAGTTGAGATCAAGGTTTAAAATGTCAGTTTTGATGGAAATGTTGACCAGTGAAAAATAATAAATATGTCAGAAATTCAGAAATTTCTTATACATGTATTGCAAAAATTTTATAACATTGCTAATACTAATCTATGAAAATATTTGTTAATATTTTTTTTTGAAGTTGTAAAAGGACATACTCTTGTAAATAATTGCATCATTTGAAGAGATAAGAATGATGCTTTTAAAATTAATTACATGATTCAAGATGGCATCTTCTGGGATGGGATCTGCTGCCAACAAACGCGCTGACAGCATGGCATCCAGCTGCAGATCAAGAACATCTCCGCATGAATGTATAATACAAGTGTGGGAGGGGTTCCCAATGTGCAGCTGGAAGCTTTGCTGTCAGTATGTTAGCATGCTTTTTGCTGGCCGCAGATTCGGGCTCACATCTTTCTCCACCTAAAATAAATCTAAGTGTTTACATATAAATATGCTTTTTATGCTATTATTATTTTTTTTAACTTTTCATAAAAAGGTTGTTACCTAATATTGGTCCCATCCATGTAGGGTCTTTTTTTTTTTTTTGAAAGATGAAAAAGTATGTATTATTATATGAAATGTGAGGAGAGAGCAAGAAGCCCTCACCTCGATACAAAAGTGTGCTAGTATCAATATGCACAGTACATATACAATCATCTCCTATACAAAAAATTCAAAATAATGGACAACCAATTATCAGAGGGTGAGCTAGCTAGCATTCCAACAAAAAGACTCGAGCACCTTGCCCAACTCTAAAGCAATCTTTCAGTTGCAAAACACACCTGCAATAAATATGAAAAACAGAAGAAAGAGGAAAAAGGAGGAAGAAGTTCAGAAGAAGATTTAGGAAGAAGAGAAGAGGAAGAGAGCTATTCAATCCCCTTTCTTTCTCTCTCAATTTTGTTAAATATGTGCTGAAAACATAAAGTATGTAAAGTTACATGAGTGCCCCTAGTTGTGCAGCTGACTTAAAAAACATAAAAAGAATAAGTATAAAGGCCCATAAAGAAGGTCCACAACAGTAGAAATAACAAACTGAAATAAATCTACTCAAATTAATAAAACTAAGGCCCGTTCAGCCCAATTTCTCTACGCTTCCCCCTCAAGCTGAGCATAGATGTCAATCATGCCCAACTTGCTTACATAATGTTGTAGCTTTGCCTTGGGAACTCCCTTACTCAAAAAGTCTGCTAGTTATTCTTCTAAAGCAATGAAATGAAGACATACTTCCCCTGAGGCCACTTGTGATTAGTTTTGTCATCCTGAACTGAATTATGAGTAATGTTAATAGCATCTTGATTGTCACAGTATAACATTAGGGGCTTATCACAAGTGTTATCCATCTCATTAGGAGAGATCTAAGCCATAACAATTTCGAAACCCCATGGGCCATAGCCCTATACTTTGCTTTAGCTGAAGACTTAACTACCACTAATTGCTTCTTTCTCCTCCAAACAACAATATTTCTAGCTACCATAGCACAATAACCTAATTTGGATCTCCTGTCATCTATATTACCTGCTCAGTTAGCATCTGTGTAGGCGTTTAATTTTTATATGACCATGTTGGCAAAGAGTATGCCATTCCTGGAAATGCCTTTTAGATAACATAGCACCCTTTCTATAGTAACCATATGTGTGTATCTAGGGGCATGCATAGATTGGCTAATTGCACTCACAACATATGAAATGTCTGGACATGTCATACAAGCTAATAACACTCAAGCTTTGAGAACCCCCTATTTGATAATGTTGTTAATTCATTAATCCTAATAAAATATCTTCTTAAAAGGCAATTAAAATTGTAAAATCATTATTTTTTTTTGTGTGAGAATTAAGAATTTAAGACCCTAACATAGACTTGTTTGGGCTTGCCTTGAGGGGCTTGGTACAAAGGTGACTTGTAGAATCGGGAATGCAATATGTTTTACGTCACATTAGCTACTTGAAGTAACACAATTGAGGGAAAAAAAAAAGATTGTGGGTTTTACATGCTTGAAAATATTTTATGTTTTGTTAGTGAAGGGGTATTTTGGTCTTTGTACCTGTTGAGAATGCTGATGTTTACTATTATGTTAGTTCGAGTGCCTCTTACTTAAATAAGGGCACTTCTGTCTTTTCCAATGTATTAATAATATAATAACAGGTTTGGCTGAAACTAGGGTTGACTTTTTCCTAATTYGAACCAGACCTTTTCTCTTCTTCTTCCTCTCTCTCTTCCTTCTTCTTTTCTCTTTTCCTTCTTGCTGTTTACTTTACTTTTCAGCTAACAAACAAAACAAAATTCTAGGGCAGGCCGAACTTCAACATGGTATCAGAGCAACATTAAACAAATTAGACTTGCTAGAATTCTGTTCTCTGCGCATTCGAACTAGGGTTTCTCTTGGATTTCTCAGCCGTTGGTTGGAGATTGGGAAAAGGGCTGAAAAGGAGTGATCGCCTTCTTCCCTTAGARGTTTCTATGCCTCCGGTGGTGTCGTTGGTGATTGGTTGTTGTGGTTTCTAAGCCCTCCCCTAATTAATGTAGGGTTGGTGCGTGTGGTGTAGTGGTGTTTCATTCCTTCGTGTGGTTGATCTTCAGGCGATGAGGTAAGGAGTTTTTTTTATGCATAATTTCTGTTATGGAACACATGAGACGTGTGGTACAGATCGTATGATGGGTTTTCAGATTGCAGTATGCTAGGGTTTATGCTGGTTTGTGTGTGATTCGAAGGAAAGTAGTGTTTACTTAATGGTGAAACTTCTGGTAGCTGTAGAGTAGGGTTTGTGGTGTTACAAGTACGGCTTTCAACCTTTATTATTGCTGAAATCAATGTGCAGATTTCGGTGAAGTGTCTGTGTGTAGTGTGTAGTGCTCAGGATTCAGTGGTAAGGGAATTCGGCAATGGCAGATAACAGTGATAGTAAACCTAGTGTGATGATATCTACTGATTACGTGAATGTCCAAATGACCTCCATTAAACTGAATAGAGAGAATTATGTCCCTTGGGCTAAGTCTGTAGAGGTTTTTCTGAAGGCGAAGAAGAAGGTAAAGCACATAAGAGAGGAGAAACCCCCCACTAATTCTCAGGAGTGGGGTCTCCTTAGACCCTCCATGCCCAAGCCCAGAATTTGTGGGGTATTTTGTTTCTCCTCTAGTTTTCTCCATTGATTGAACAAAAGCAAATAGAAATCAAAATAGGTTACTACTAATCAAAATGGGAACTTGCTCGATACCAAGTTGCAAAAACACACCTATAATAAATCTGAAAAATAGAAGAAAAAAGAAAAAAGGAGGAAGAAGAGAAGAGAATGGAAGAAACGAGAAGAGGAAGAGAGCTATTTGGTCCTCTCTCTCTATTTCTCAATTTTATTAAATATGTGCTGAAACATAAAGTATGTAAAGTTACATGAGTGCCCCCAGTTGGGTGGCTGACTTAAAAAACATAAAAAGAAGAAGTATTAAGGCCCATAAAGAAGGCCTACTACAGCAGGAATAACAAACAGAAATAAAGCTATTCAAATAAATAAAACTAAGGCTTAGGGGATGGGTGGACTGGTATGAATCTAACTTTTAGTGTATATTGTATAAAAGTATAAAATATTAAAACATCGATAATATTTTATTAAACTGTATATAACTAAAAGTGTTTCATAAAGGAAAACTAGGAGTACCAAATTCCATTTATTTCTAGAGTCTATCTTCTCGATATTCATTATGGATGCCTTTCAGCAACTGTGGTACTTTGGGGAGGCTGAACCCACTCCAGTTTTCTAATAAAACTTAATCAGAGAAGGGAAAAAGATATGATTCTCTCCCTCTTAATAATTATTTCTTTCTTTCATTCATAAAAAAAAAGATATGATTCTCATTGGATCAGAGCCCTATTTTTCAGAGTTTCACTGTTGAGTAGGGAGATCAATGAGTGCCTTTTCCTCAGATGTGTTTATGGAGAAGTAAATACTTCTGCAGACGATGCGGTAAATTGGGATGGTGGCACTAAAATGCCTTAACAGTTGAGATCTCTGTAAGAGCTATCTAGCATGGTTAATACATACTACTTTTGGACAAGGTTGTCTCTTCAATGTTTTGAGGCAAATGACATTGGCAATGTTGTCCATTATTATGTAGTCTTGCTTGGTGTTCCTTCCTCTCTGGAGGCTTCCCTCCTGTTAAAAGGCTTTGCTGACATGAGTTGAAACTGTATAAAGTGGATGCACATTCTTTTTAAGCTCTGATATTTACTCTTCATTGTCTGTTCAATTTTACTTCTATCATATCAACATCTTCTAATTCTTTAGAAATTATTTAATGGCTACCTAATTAAAAAGGACACGAATATGGAGAAAGCCATATCTGTTGTTTAGATCAATAAATAATTTTTTACTCTTATATTCTTGGTGTTTAACCTATCTATTTTTGGCTTGATGATGGTGGATGTGCAGTAAAAAACAAATGTGGCCATAGATTCTGATTGGATCAGAAAGCAAAATGTCAAAGACTTGTTTCTTTTGTTTGTCTTATCTGGATAATCTTATGTTTTGAAAGTAATCCAGAAACTGAATATTGTGCTTGTGTAATATTTTAAATTTTGTTTGATTTTTTTTAATATCTTGTTCATCATCTCTTAGCACTTTCATGTTTTTATTTCATGAAATTAAATGCCTTTAGGGAGATGCTTGATTACTTATTTTGCAGACAATTTTTTCTACTTCCCCCTTAGTTTCCTTTTTAAATCTTTTAAATATAGAACATATTGAAATGATATTATTGTGGTTCATGCCTGTGTGTTAAGGCTTCAATTTCTTAATTTCAGTCACCTGTTGATGGAAAGCCAATGCTCTTGACACCTGAGGAGTCGATACAAATCCAAGTAGGTATATCTTACTTTTTTCCATTTTTGAACTGATAAATTTAAGAGGGTCTAAAACTACATAACTGGCTTTTCTCAGATTTGGTTACATGTTTGACTGATTGTTTTGTACCTGTCCATTTTTCTCTTGACCAATGGCTTTGCTGTACACTAACAAGGGAAGGAGTGGGGAGAAATTTCCTTGAGTTGGGGGAATCAGACCCAGGTTTTCGTCCAGGAGACTAGTTGTAATTTTATTTTCTTATTAAGAGTCAGCTTATGCTGTTGAGGTTCCCATTCGTTTTCATAAAATGCTTTTGATTGTGAGCCACTGATCCATAAAAAAAAATGGATAACAGAAAAAAATAAACTGATGCATGACATAAGCAAGTGAATGGAGTGATGATGTTCATTATGGGAAAAAGAATGGTTGCAGCTAGGGACTATTTTCTGAACTGTCAACCTTAGCCAAATCATCTTCAACAAGGGAACCTACCTCTTTTGCTGATCTATGTGATATTTGAGCTGAATGGCAAAGTCAACTCTTCCATTCAGAAATGGGATAGTCTCTGACATCCTCTCTTTGAATGGGGTGCCTCCTTGGTAACATAACTTGAATTGATTTTTACCTTTAACTTTGTAAAATGAAGGCCCCTACATATTCTTGTCCAAGCAAAATGGTAGCGTAGAATTTTTTGGATTGACTAATACCATCTAGCCTGAAAAAGAATTAGATGATGAACCTGCAGCTGCTTCTGAAAAAAAATACTAATCTTGAAAGGATCGAGATTTCTCAACAAACTGAATCAAAACTTGACTTCCTCCTCCCCTTGTTTTGATAGGCAAGTAATATTGTTAGTATAAAAAAGTTGTTGCTGTTATTGATAATAAAAAAAGTATAAAAAAGATGTATTTTTGCGAAAAGAAGGATACCTTTATCCATAATAAGGATCCCTAAATGTGAGGATATACATTCAATACAAAAAATAAATGAACCCTGCATCATGTCTTGATCTCTTAGGCAATTCCCTAAACTGCTTTTGGATTAAACCCAATAAAAGAAGAAAAAGAGAAAAGAAGCAAAGGAAGAAGGTTGGGAAAAGAAAGAGAAAAGAAAGAGAAGAAAAGAGGGGAGACAAGCAAGGAGAAACTGAACCAACTCTCCTCACTGTYGACCCAGCTTGTATTAACATTTTACTGGTTGCTGAAATGACAACAATACCCCTAGATAAGCTACAATAGATATAAGAGAGAAAAATAACAAGGAAAAGACAAGAATGTGTCAACTAACTATAACAATTCTAACACTCCCCCTCAATCTGGAGTATATATATCATAAAGTTCTAACTTGTTACAAATATAATCCATCCTTGAGCAACCCAAACTTTTAGTAAAAATATCAGCTACTTGGTCTTCAGATATTAGATAGGGAGTAACAATTTCTCCACCTGTTACTTTCTCTCTCACAAAATGGCAATCAACTTCAATGTGCTTAGTCCTTTCATGAAACACTGGATTGGAGGCAATGTGTTGCGGCTTGGTTGTCACAAAACAATTTAATGGGTTGACTATTGTGATATTCATCTCGTATTCTCGTGAAGATGCTTCAACTAAACTAGTTCACAGGTAGCATGGGCCATTACCCTGTATTTAGCTTCAGGACTACTCCTAGCAACCACACTCTGCTTTTTGTTCTTCCAAGAGACAATATTCCACACAAGAAGGTACAATAACCTGTTGTAGACTTCCTGTCCATTGGAGACCTTGCCCAATCTGCATCTGACATTCTTTTCCTAGTCTTGGTCAAAATCAAATATTCTCATGCCCTTGGGTTCTTTCAAGTTTCAAACTAAAAGCTTTATCTATAACATATAAGCTGGTRTCTCACATAGCAATGAGGATTCCTGGAATATTCTTTTACTTGGCTCTTTCAACCAGAATACTATAGTATATTGCTCTATGAGCTTCGCTCTTTCACCTCAAAAGGGACCACAGGCCATCTTTGTAGTAACTCATATGGATGTGGTGTATCTGGAGCCTTCCCTCGTAGAAATAAATAGAATAGAGAAAAAAGTTTATTTGGTTATATGACAACTGATAAAATCCTTGTTTCCTGCATTTAACTTATTTACTCACCAATATGAGTTATTTTCTCTTCAGTTTATCTAGCGCAAGTATCACCCTGTTAATGTTTCCACTTGTTGAGTGATGGAGAAGCCATGCTTTTCATATATCTTCATGCAACACTTTGTGTCCTCTATGAAGCTTCATAAAATGATCTACTGCAAACAAATGTTTGTCTTCGCTCCTGGTTCCACATGTATTTCCTCTAAGATCTTCAATAAAAGCATTAAAACATTATTTCTTGATCTCTCCTTGCAATGGTTGGTATCTAAAGGTGCATTTGGAAAGACTTATTTCTAACTCCAAAGAATTTATAAACTATTTTCTTCTAAGAGAGGTTCAACTTATAAAGCATTAGACACCTGTCATAATCTGCTTGGTTCACATCAACTGTTGTCGCAAAGCCCGGTCCTTTCCCCATTATCTGCCTTGAAGTAGGAACTGGGGATAAAATCATCATATGTTCTCATAATTCATTTCCACACAAAACCCGGTAATTATGAGTAGCACATGAATCTCATCCCAAGTTGCGAGTGCCATATGATGACCATGTCCCTGGAACACCTTCTTCCCTAAACCACCATAACCACTTTTCTAGAAGACCTTTGTTCTTCAGTCGTAAGTTTCAAATTGTGTCTGCTTAGAAATGTAATTGACAGAATACCCGGTGCCACTTGGCCAAATGTGTTTTTCTTCTTTCTTACCTTCCCATAAGAAATCCTTTTGAATTTTTCTCCATCTTCTTAGCCACTGATGTTCAAATCCAATAAAGTGATATGTAATAGATGCACATAATGGAATGCATATTTCGATGAGAGTGATCCATTGTTGATGGATGTAATTGCTTCCTCTGAGTTTGTGGCCCCACTGTCACAGATTCCATCTACAAGAAGAAGATATGTTTTGTTCTTTTTTTTTTGATTAGTGTAGAAAATACATTTTTAAGTAACCTACTTACTTTTTTTCTTCAACTGCTTTGCTGGAATTTCTCTCTTTTGTTTGGCCTGAGTTTCCTCAGGTCCTACCAAAATAAACAAGTATCTTTCAGATCTGTATTTGAAGAACTGTCACAGATTCCATCTACAAAAAGAAAATATATTTTCTTCTTCTTTTTTTTGATTAGTGAAGAAAATACATTTTTAAGTAACCTACTTATCTTTTTTTCTTTAATTGCTTTGTTGGCATTTCTCTCTTTTGTTTGGCCTGAGTTTCCTCAGGTCCTACCAAAATAAACAAGTATCTTTCAGATCTGTATTTGAAGAACTGTCATCATCAAAAGTTTAATATTCAAATTAGAGTGGCATGCCTTCTAAAGGTTTAATATTCAAATCAATGTGGTGTGCCTGCTATCATAAAAAGTCATGATTGATTTTGTTTTTTGCCCCTTAGCAATTTGCAGTCTTGGAAATTGCTACCTTTTATAAATTTCATGCATTTATTTGATCTCCCTACAACTTTTGCAGAATAGAATTGGAGCAGATATTATCATGGCCCTTGATGATGTTGTGAAAACCACCATTACTGGGCCACGGATTGAGGAGGCTATGTATCGCACTCTTCGTTGGATAGATAGATGTATAGCTGGTAATTATACAACATCAAAGATTATCACATATATATTTTTTAATTTATAGAGTTATAGTTGTTATTAAGATTAACTAGTTGGGACAAGGCTTAGATGATGATGATGATGATTAGGATTAACACTACAAGTTCTTGTTTTCAGTTTTATTTCTGTTTGACAACTATGCATTTATTGGCTGGAGTGTTTACAAATTTTAGCACTTGGAATCTTCTGTGGTAATGTGAGAAAGATAATAGGGAAGTTAACTAAGAACAATATTTCCTCATATAAATGATGGACTGATAGTATAATCTAGAAAAAGAAGAGCAGCATAATTAAAAAAAAACATGAGTTAAGTGGCACATGAAAGAGAAAAGAGAAAAATAAATGAGTATAAACAGATGAGAGGCAGGTATTAACCTAATGTTGTAAAATATTTTGATTTAACCTTTTGGTCTTACAGAGAAACCAATAAAGTATCAGTGTTATATAGTATAGATGATGTTTTTAAAACATCCCACTAAAATATTTATAGCAGTGGGCATAAAGATGGCTTCCCAAGGTCAAGTTTCCTAGATTCAATTGTCATTTATACATTGCTTATTTTTCCTAAACCCTATGTTACTAATAATTATTTATTTCTTTCTTTGATTCCCATGAAGGACAGCTCACAAGAGACCAAGTGAACAAAACTTGTTTGGGATTGTACAAGGGGGATTAGATCCTGTTCTCAGGTGATTGGGCACTTAATTTTTAAACACCTGTTCTTAGAAACAAAATTGTCTATCTCTATTGCACAAGTAAAAATTATGCTGGAGTATTGATTATATTTCTTTATCGTAACTTTTGTTTTTCCAGAGATAAATGTGTTAGAGGCTTGGTCCATCGTAATTTACCAGGGTATGTTAAATACTACTCTTACCCGTTGCTTGTAAAAGTGCACGCTTGTCAGCATATATAGAAACTTTGTTTAAGGAACTTTTTAAGCAATCAAAATGATAGCTATGTATGTTAAAATCTGATAATATCTTTGTTGTTTATAAATCTCTGGTGCTCTATATTATTGTGGGTAAGTGTTTTCCCCATATGGAGGATGCACTCATAACATTCGCGATGTCTACATATTCCTTATTAATGAATTTTTATGTTTTTTCAAGCTTCCATTATAATTGGCAGATTTGTTGGGGATTGTAAGCCTTTGTTTTTGAGTCTTTGTTAGGGACCATCTATTCTAGGTTCAATTGCAATCCATTTTTGTTGTTTTTGGGGGAGCTTTCACCTCACAGCTCCTCCTGTTACTTCATAACATTTCTGGCTTTTCCTTAATGAAATTTGCTTTTATCTATCAAAAAAGTAATGTGAAGACTATTCATCTTTTTACCCCTCCCTAGGAGTGCAGTTGAATTGAGCCGAGCTGAACTTCGGCATGTCTTGGCTCAGTTCAACTAAAATACCCCTATATTCAAGTTCAAGTTCAATTCTACATCTATTCTTCAGTTTGAGTTCAGTTCAACTAAATATTCAATAAGTTCGAGTTTGGCTTGAAAGCTTGATAAACTAACTAATATATAGTATATTTTTATATCATATACATAATACAGAGTCTATGAACAATTGTTATGCTGATGAATTTGATAGAGGATGAAGCTTGCTATTTTACTTTTGCAAAGCCTTTGGTTGAATTCATCCATCATAGAGGAATCTCCTTTAGAACCTTATAGAAATTCAATTAACATAGTCTCCCTCTTTAATTAATCCTTATATTGGGTTCTATTTGAGCTGTTTGCTCTAGTTAGACCTCCAAGCTAAGAGAGGTTTAAATTGTATCTTCCTAGCTGTTGATCCATCTTATATATATCTTCTTAACTAAAGAGAAAATTACAGTTATACCCTGTTTAAGTAATAAGTACCACTTACAAGAAAGACTAAGAAGCTTAATGCTGAGATGTAAAAGACTATTCTACTCTTACTAAATATACTTTAATACTCCCTATCAATTTGGGGCATAAACTAGCTCAACACTTCCATAGCGAAGGATATATCAAGACAGGTAATAGGAGTCTCAACTGGTTTGGCTCCCAACAATCCTGTTTCATCCAATAAATCTAAAATATGTTTGCAATGTAATAAGTAATTCCCCACTTTGATCTAACTACTTAAATTCCCGGGAAATACTTTAATGGGCCAAGGTCTTTGGTTTGAAAATGTTGTTGCAAGAACTGCTACAATTCACTAATTCCCTGCATATTACTACCTGTGAGAACAATATCATCAACATAAACTACTAAAATAATTTTCCTAGGAGTATTTCTGCTGAATACTGAGTGATCAACGCTACATTGTTTTAAACCAAATTCTTGCACCACAATACTGAATTGGCTAAACCATGCCCTTGGTGATTATTTCAGYCCATAAATTGCCTTATGTAGCATGCACACTTTCCTTGTCTCCCTCCGAGCAACATACCCAGGAGGTTGCTCCATGTAGGGGTGTAAACACATTGAATTCGAATTGAATTAGGCAATACCTGAATGCGAATCCAATTAGAAAATTTGATATTCGAATTCGATTTGATATCTGATGGATATTGAAAATCAAAGTTCGAATTCAAATTCAATTAAATATTCAAATATTTGATTCGATCTGAATTTGACCGATTAATTAATTTAGGTAATTAAATATATAAAATAAATGTTTAATTTTTATAAAATATATAAATATATAAATTATTTACATAATTTAAATATATATAAAAATATTGATAAAAATATTCTATATAAAATTATATAGAATATTTAAGTATTATATATAAGAATTAAATAATTGATCGAATAGAATCAGATCATATCCAAATTCAATTCGATTACTTAAACAGTATGAATAGAATATCTGAATCCGACCGATTATGATATTCAAATTATTAAAAATTGATTCGGTTATGTCAAATCTCGAATTCTAAATCTGATTTTCAAATACTGTTGACACCCCTAGCTCTATGTACACTTCCTCTCTTTGTTGAAGATTCCAGTAAGGGTGGCTGAAAAACTTGAGAAATTTCAGAGAGACTTCTTGTGGGAAGGAGTAGGGGGAGCAAAGGAATTGCATATGGTGAATTGGGGCAAGGTTTGCAAATCAAAAGGAGAGGGCGGTCTGGGAATTAGAAGAATTAGAATTTTCAACAGGGCTCTCTTGGGTAAGTGGCTGTGGAGGTTTGGGCTGGACAGGGAGAGGGAGTCTCTATGGAGGACTGCAGGGTTTTTGTTGGAAAATATTGGTTGGTGAGGTTTGGGTGGGAATTGAAGGAGCTATGGAGCTGTTGTGGGGTGAGTGTTTGGAAAGGGATAATGTAGTTTAACCAAGACTTCAAATCTCTAGTAAGTTTCAAGGTGGGTGATGGATCAAGTACAAGGTTTTGGGAGGACGAGTGATGTGAAGTAGGGAAGCTCTCTGAGGTGTGCCCACAGCTATACTGGCCATCTGATCATCAAGTCAAGATTTACCAATGTTTTGAGCTGAGGGGGTGATCAGGTTATTTGGTGTCCTTAATTTAGATGACCTCTGTTGGATGGGAATTGGAAGAGTGCATTCAGTTGCTGGAAAAGTTACAGCAGGCATCAGTTTCAGCATCCTTGAGGGATGGATTATGGTTGAAAGAGTGCAGAAATGGCAGGCTACTGTGAAATCCTTCTATCTGGCTTTGGTGAAAGATCAAATGGTTTCAGATCAAGTGGTTGGGGTCTGGGGGAACCCAGTTCCTCCTAGGGTGGAAGCCTTTGCCTGGTTGGTTCCCTTGGATAACTTAATAACTACCGATCACTTAATGAGTAGGCTTTCAGCTAGGCCAATTACTGTGTTATGTGCAGCTCTGATGAAGAGACAGTCTTCCATCTGTTCTACACCTGCAGGGTTGCAATATTTATTTGGAAATTCTATTCTTCACTGTTTGGAGTCGATGTACTTCGGCCAAGATCAACTGCTGAAATCTTCTCAGCCTGGCCAAGAATTAGAGGCAATAGGAGAGCAAAGATAATATGGAGCTGTATCTCTTTTGCTTTCTGTTGGGCCCTCTGGAGTGAAAGAAATAGAAGGCTATTCAAAGACAAGTCTAAGAACATTGAATCATTGGTGGCTGTGGTTGGGAAGCTAGTGGCCGGTTGGGCTTGGGTGCTCCCAAATTTTGCCCAAGTTAGTAAAGCAGATTTGGGGGAATTTTTTTTTTTTGGAATATACTTGAAATTCAGATGTAATTCCTCTCAGATGTCATTGCCCAACTTGTCACCTCTTGGATTGTACTTTTTTCTTATTTTTTATTGAAATTTCTCTTTTTACTCTTAAAAAAAAAACTACTCTCTTATTCTTTTATTTTGATTAACGAAGTTACTTGATCTGTTTCTGGAAAAAAGATGCTAATTTTAGGTATTCTTAAATAAATCTATTGCATAGCAGGTGTTTCTGGTGATAATGGAATCATTTCTATATTATTTGTGCTATTCCCCTTCAGGGGATTTTATAGATGTGGAAGTTCCAATCTTCACTAATCCAATTTTTAGTATCAGTAGTTACAATATTTAATGCTGATTGGTTTTTGTCCCTGAAACCCTATTTTGCAATATTATACGGTCTTAGTATGTGTCCCAGTTCCGTTCTTTGGGTTCTTGAATTGTAAAGATTCAAAGTCTGATTACCCGTCAATCAATCTTTTCTCTACATGGCCTTATTAGCAGTTCAAATAAAAATAAAGTTCACCACTCAGTGCTGTTCCTGGCAGTTCAGGATCTTGGGAGGGGTGGACTTGATACAAACCTAATCTCTGGTATTATAGTACTGCTGTGCTGTCAGACTTAAAACCATTTTTTCATGGTTGTCAGCCTGAGAGTTTATCGTCACACCAGTTAATGGTCCTTCAGTAGTTCTAATGATACCAAGAATTATTAGATGGCTGCATGTTGCTTCTACTCTGGTATGATGACGATGATGATATGAGAGTTTCTTCAGAATGCTGATTCCCAGTCCTCATGGAGTGCTCAACTAATCTCATCGGGTCTRAGTTATTTAGTTTTTATTCTTTTGGAGTGCATCTTTACACACTTTCTATGGTCAAACTTCATTATTCTACCATTAGTCCATGAATGTTAATATCAACAGATTCATTCCTAACTAAAAATAACTGCAAACCCAAAATAATCGTGCTAATTACTTGGGATATTCTGTACTCAATATTTCTACCCAACTAGTAGTCAAAGCTGGTTGGAGATTTTACCATTGAACTAACTCCATATTTCCCAGGCATTTACAAAGGTTTCTATTTTACAAATGCCAGGATTTCCACTTGCTACTGGTGAAAGGACTGGATTTTTTAATATGTATAAAACGTTGCATATATATTAGGGTTATGAAAGGCGTTCTGTTTTGAGATACCACAAAGAGATCCCTTTTTTTTTTTTTGATAAATGACACAAAGAGATCCATTTTGATTAACTACTCTTTATCTATTACATGCAAATATCCATTTTAGGCGTCATATCTTTTAATATAGTAGTTATTTAGTTTAGTTGTTTTTTTTTACAAATGTTGCATATAGTCATCTCTATTGTAAATGCGGAGGCCTCCAGATGGCTTGGTAAATGTGGAGGTCTGGCATATATCTTGTAATCAGATACCCATCTCTGTAGAAAATCTTGAGATTAAGCTCGTGGGTCTCCGCTTTAATCTTTGGAACGCGGAAACCATTGAAAGATTGATACAGATTCTGGATGGAGCATTGATTGCTTATAATTTTCAAGATCTGCACGCCGCGAGTCTTAGAATTGCAGGATTGAAGCCTGAAGACATTCTTAGATGCATTAGTCTGCTCGCTGATGGTCTCTGGTTGAAGGTCTGGGTTTTGTTGGAAGCCAAAATGTCTCTATCGGCGAAATGCTCCAAGGTAGAAGACGATGACTTGCTAGAAGGATGGGTTACACATGGAGGGGAGAGGACAGACAACGGTTCAAACTTCAAAGACTATTGACCGAAGTTCAAAGTAGCGATTGCACGCGGGCTTGTTGGGAAAGAAAGACCTAATGAAGACTGCAGTTCGAATTTAATTGAGTTCGGCGCAATGTCTTATGCTGAGGCTAACGGGGGCGGTGCCACGTCACCAAAAGTTTTGGGACCACATAGTTTTAAGTATTCTGAAAGGTGGCCGGAACCGATTCGAGCTAAAAAAACGGGACCGAATGCAAGGCCTGGCCGGTTCAGCAACAGTAGGTCATGTGATTATTTTAGTAGTCACGTGACTCGGAAGGGCCTACGAGGGGCTCGATACGATAGGGGACGAGTTGCCTCGTCTATTATTTGAGTAGTCACGTGATCAGTCTGAAGCTTGCGTCTCGGCCAAATGCAATTCCAGACGAAGATGAGGATCATAATAGTGGTGAAATAGTAAAGGGTAAGAAGAAAAATTAGAGGAAGATAAGAGATTACAAGAGAAAGTCCTTATATATTCAAAACCCTTAAGAGAAGTGGGTCGATGGTGAGAAGTGCTCCGAATGAGAGCAGAAACTGTAAGGGAGAAACGTGGATCTGGGTGACCACCAAGTATGACAAGAGCGACAAGTAGAGTCTCATTGGTGAAATAGGCATGAATCATGCAAGCACCCCAACTAATTTAGCGAATAAAGAGCCTGATAGTTATACCCTGGGCAGTAGAGGTGCCAAGGTTTTTTGCAACTCTGCTGCGTCTGAAGTTTCATATAGGAGCAGGCAGGACTTTGGAAAGCTTGCTGTTTTGACGTCGGGAGTGGATCTCCATGCAGGTTTACAGAGGCTGGAAGGGGGGGGGGAAGGAGAGGACGTGTCTCTGTAGGTGACACACATGAGAGAGATTATGAGAATAAGGGGAAAGGGGAAACAAGTGACGGAGAAGGCGTGGGGAGTCTGGAGGGGAGCTGCGATGAGGATGGTTTTAAATCCGAGGAGGTGATGACAGGTAGATTGGGTGATGATCTGGGAAGTAGGAGCAAGCTTGATGAAAAGGAATAGAACCATATAAGCGAGGCGATAAACAAGAAATCTCAATAGCTTGAAAAATCTTAACGCAGTGCATGTGACGAAGATATTCTCCAGGCTAAAACTTGGTTTGGCAGGGGCAGGCCCCGTGAAAAACTACAAATGGGTTTATAGGAGGAAAAGATTAAGAGGAAGTAGGTCATCTGRCAATGAAAACAGAGGGACAATGACACAATGCCAGCCTGTGTCCTCTCATTCAGGAAAGGAGCAATAAAAGGACAAAGTGAGTGTTGATGGCTCTGCTTCTGGCGAGAGCGAGACAATGCAAAACAACATTGGCGTTGATAACAAGACAGGGTGTGGGACTCTTCAAAACCTGGTGAGTAGAGAGGTCACGATTGGAAAGAGACGGGGTTTATTTTTCTGGGGTGGTGAGGAGTTTGCTAGAAGGGCCTTTGAGGAGTTTGAAAGAAGGAAAAGGGAAGAGAAGACGAACAAAGAAACTCATTGGGAAGGCGACAGGTGTTGGGACAACGATGTCTCAAGCTGGGAGGATGAGTTTGCGGTGGAAGATTGAGGCTTTGGTTGTGGAGCAAGGAGGGTTTAAGTTTCTGTTTAGGGGTGGGTTTCGTTGCTTTTGCTCTTATGGGGATTTCTTGGCTTGTGCTTTAGATTGTTTTGAGAAAAAGCTTTAAGTTTCGCCAGTTTTGGTTTTATGGGTTTTAGTATGGGGCTTTTAAGATCTTTGTATGGTTCTTTGGGTTTGTTTCCTCTTCAGGTGATGTCTAATCACCTTCCTATTGTATTCTATTTTCTTTTTCTAATGAATTTTTTTTCTTATTCTTCCAAAATAAAATCTGTACCTCTTTGTAATTGTGATTAAATAACCAGGGGGTGATTTAACTTAGTTTACTTCTGTGACAGCTATGCTATTGGTGGTCTTGCAGGCGGTGAAGATAAAGACTCATTTTGGCGTGTCGTTGCTCAGTGCACTGCTGCTTTACCTGAGGATAAACCACGTTATGTTATGGTGGCATAAGTTATCTTAAATATTGTTTTTCTAATTCAAAAACAATTTAATCTTCTTTTAAATATCTTCAAGAATCTCCAAAAATAAAAATAAAATAAAGCTGTAACAATTTAATGAAGAAAGAGTGAGAGGAGAAACGAAAAGAGGGATAAAAATGTAGAAGAGAAGTGAATTGATTTTGGCATGTGTCTTTTCATTCATACATACACACATAACCGATGAACAAAAAAGAAAATAATAATGCAACTGGAAGATAACCATGACTGTCAATAGCCCCCTCATATAGCTTCATTAGAAATAAATAATGCAATCAATTTGATAACAAAACAAAAAAAATGGTCTTAAACATTACAACGACTCCCCCTTAATAAAAAATTGTAGTCTTCCAAGAATTTCGTGTACACATATAAGGCACAATGAACCTTGGTGCTCGAAACACTTGAACAATTCAGTAACATGCGTCACCAAGGATCTTCAACCAAAACAAATAAGCTCACAATCAACGGACCACTCTCCCTGTCCTGTAATTGTCAGATCTAAATGTTCCTCTAGCCTTTAACTGGATATTAAGCTCCTCCCAGTAGCACAACAACAGGATTGTCCTTGTAATCATGCTAGAGAACTCTGTATCAAGCTTTGATGATTATACAACCAAAAGTATAATAAAACTCAACCCCACAAACTAGTTCCAGAAGATGGCTGTAGAAATAGGAGGTGCTCTCTCCAGAGGCTGTGGAAATCTCAAAAATCCAAATTGCCCACTCTAGAACGACCCAAGCAGACTAGAAATACCTATATGCCAGAGTAGATTCCCCCAATATGATGTACAAAATACTCTTTTGGGTTCTTGATTTTTATCWAAGTTTCAAAGACTCCTCTCTTAATCGGAGTGCCAACTCTGTAGCTGTTGCGTTAGCCAAACAGGGGGTGGGGAGAAATCCTTTATTCTGGACACAACTTAAGGGAGATGGGGCATCATGGGGAGAGATAAGAGGTGTTATCTATCACTGTCTTTATTCTGTGCTTTTACTCATTGTACCTTCTATCATTTTCTTTATTAAAAAAACTGTTGTGGTTATTGATAAAAAAATTAACATTCAATTAGTTCTCCAAAGAATCATATAAAACTAAGCAATTCAAGAATGAATAATATTTCCAGCAATTATTAGCCAACAGATTAGGAATTGACTCCCCAAAATACTGTAGGAATAGCTCCAATATAAGTTGACCCTAAAATAGAAGGGAAAAGAGGTGGGTGCTTGCTCCCTACTTCACAAAAACCTCTTTATCACTTTTGACTTCTGTAGAGATATGCAAGTGACCAAACAATGCCAGATTGCTACCTAAAAAACAATCTTCAGTGACAATGATCAAGGTTGAAATAAATCTTTGATTTTTCTTGGAATTTTCAGGCAAAATCTCTAGGATACTTTCTTAGGATAAAAAAATTCTATAAAAAATCCAAAGATTAGGAAATTTAAGAATTAAAATAAATAATTATTTTGTAAAAACAAAATTACCATTATATAGTAATTTATGAATTTATCATTTGTGGTATTTCCCATAATTAATATTTATAGTAAAATTATAACTTACTATTTATAGAAAAAAATCAGATCTAATAACAGAAACTCAAGAGGCAAGGATTTAGAATAGGGAGATGAGACAAACAAGCCTCATAATGGGGAGATCAGACACATGAAAGACTAAGCTAGAACTGAACAAAAACTGACCAAGAACAATGACAGTAGGGGAAACACCAAACGAACCTAAGAGTTCAGATCTGATCATTATCAACATCTTCATCATCATCATCAAAGCCTTATTTTTTCTGGCATTCCATACCATCTTATTTTTCTGGTTCAAGGACAATATAATTGTTTTTAAATTATCTTCAACAATCTGAAAAAAAAAACAAAAAAGAAACAAAAATAGAATAAAGCTGTAACGATTTAATCAAGTAAGAGAGAGTAGAGAAAAGATGAAGCTTTCAACATTAAAAATTTTCATAAATGATTGCTGATCTAAAGCTAATGATATTGGATGATTCATTTATGATTTTTGTAAGGTATGATAATTTACTTTATATTTATCTTCCATGTCTGTGTATGCCATTTTCCAGGGTGTTGGTTATCCACTTGATATTGTAGTTTGCAGTGCATTAGGTGCTGACATGTATGATTGTGTTTATCCTACCCGTACTGCTCGCTTTGGCACTGCTCTTATACCTGAGGTAAGCCTTCTAAACATTCACGAAGCACTATAAGTTCMTTCTTTTCTGTCTGAATGAATAATGATGTAAATTTACTCATACCACCCCTCTCTAGGCGCAAATATAGCAATCCCTTTGTAGTCACTGTGGTTTGATTAGATGCTCCTTTTAGGGATTGGACTCCACTAATTATGACTATCATCATTCAAGTCTTGTCCAAATATTGATAGTTCATAGATCTTGTCCAAGGATTAAATCCTTAATGTATAAATATTAAAATCCTTTTCCCCAAATCCTTCACTATGCCTATTGACTCCTTTTTAGTTCTGTGAATCGTCTTATAATGCTATGTTATTTGGATTCTTCACTTTACCCCAAATCCCTGTATCGTATCCAACACTGTATAGGTTTGTGCATGAGATACATGGATATGCTAAATACATGTTCACTTAGTTTTACGGACATCAACATAAATTACCAATTGATGGGTTAGAATGAATATTGTAACAAGGAGTTAAAGCTTGAGCATATGTAATGCTTAGCTGCAAATGCCCCTTAGACCTCATAAAAATGCCAATTTCTATACATTCACGTTTTAGGCTGCATTTGGTAAGAATGCATTTTTGTATTGAAAATGAAAGTAAATTTCAATGTTCAGAGAACTGGACTAGGCATTGGCCCAGAAAAGGGAGAGGTTCATAGATGAGAGGTTCAATTGAGGTCAAACCAAGATGACATAATATATATAATATGCACAATTATATAATATATACATAATAATATTAACTATATACATGTATTCAAAATATATAATTATATTTTGCTATAATGCATATTTTTTATTTTAGTTTCAAATTTTTATATTAAAAATTAAGATTTGAGGCCAAAAAAGGCAATTTTGGAAAAAATAGTGAGGCAAGGCTCCTTCTGCCTAGATAGATAAAAAAACCATTTAGACAACTAAGCGCATAGTTATGGCCTTTGGAAGTTTGCACATAAGGTAAAATAAAAATGACAAAAAAAACAGCCGGTTATACAAAATCAGGACCAGTTCATCCATTGGACTAGCTAGTTGGCCAACCAATTTTTTTTATCAGTTCCGGTTTTGGGGGTATAACCGAACCATTTGGGGCCCAAGTCACAATTTAACTGGTCCAACAGGCTGGTCCAATCAGTTTTCTAAACATTGGTAAATTTGTTTTTTTGACATTATTGCATTCAAAATGGGGACAAAGTTTGCTTTCAAAAAATGAAAGCGAACTTTTGTATTCAAAGTTGGTCAATGTAAAACGGGTAGATTTCAGTCTTGAACTTTGTGTTTCTACCCATCACAACCAAACACACTAGAAAATTTATCAATGCAAAACCAAACCAAGTTTGCAATTTTGTGAACCAAGCATATATGCATTTGCACCCTTATGAAAATAGGTTATATGCTACTGGTTTATTTGTTCTTTTTTTGGGTTACTGATACTTCACTTTTTATATATCATAATTGAATGCATGCAAGTCAGATATAACTTGCATGGTTGAAAATTAAATATTTATCATCTAATGCATGATGTGTTCATAAATTAGCACTAAGTACAAACATTCTACTCTGTAAAGCACACAAGCATTCATTTGGTTGGTTTTTAAGACAATATGCTTAGTATTGAATCTATTGATCATCTGCATCAGAAGGATGCAGCTTCAAAACAATTGTAGCATGTGCAACTCAGATGATCTGGTGAACCATTTGTTCCTTTCTTGCCCAAGTACTTCTTTTCTTTGGGATTTTGCTTTTGTGGCCTTTTCAGCAGTGATGGATCTGTCCTCTACTATTTCCATATGGAATGCATTTTATCTTTACTCAATTGCTCTGTGAATAGAAGAGGACCAACATTTAGGCAATGGTTCGGTTTACCATTTGTTGGGCAATTTGAAAAGAAAGAAACAAAAGGATTTTCAATAGTCTTGAGAAGCATTTGGTGCATCCATGGCTCATAGTTATAAGGAAGATGAAAGGGTGGGGGTATTCAAGGGCAATTTAGTAATTTGGGAAGGAAAAGGTATGGAGGGAGGAGGTGTAAAAAATGAGTTATTAGGTGGTGAAAAGTTGCGAAAAATGGGTCGTGTGGGCCTTGTCGCTTGGATTGCTGGTTTGAACCAAATGGGGCAGGTGGCCTAATTGGAGTTAAGCCAATGTCAGCTAATTCACGAGTTTGAATCTATGCCCCATGGGCTGGCGCCCCAAAAACGTGTGGAACAGGATGTCCGTTAACTTGACCCTTTAGCTCCAAAATACCAAAGCAAAATTGTTTCCTCTCCATTCCCTCTCATCTCTCGACCTGCCCTGTTTTGTAACCTTGCTTGAACCCTACACCTCCTCCTCCTCCTCCATACCCGGAGCCAACGCCGCTAACCAATCCGTCATTGACTGTCCTCATCTCATCTGTTCTCTCACATTTTAACTTTTTTTTTTTTCAATACAAAACCATAAAAGGGAAGAGTAGGCGATCAAGACTACAATCAGCCTTGAACCCTAATAGATTTCAGAATAGGAAAGGTAGAAGAAAAGTAAGAGAAAGAAAGAAAAGAGAGGAGAAGAACTGGAGAACACAAAGGTTTGAAAGAAGGGACAGATTCTAATTGACCTGCCGCCGCCACTCTCTTAGTATTTATAGGTTATGTTCAGTACATAGGGGAAAAGGACAGATCTGCCCTTAGTACTTACATGACAATTAAAGCAAATAAAAAACTGAAATAACAAACTGACCACCAACTAATACTAACATGACTGAAACAAATAATTACACATACTGTCCTACGAACACAGTGGGGACCACAGCTGTGGGGCCCACATCAGTGTTCTCTACAGGAAGGATCACCAAGGACCACTCGATCATTGTTCAGGTTATCAATACCCTTTGGGGGAGGGTAGCATCGATAATCTGTTTCTAAAGTTATTGCCAATCATCAGGGTAGCATCGATAACCTATGTTTTTGCATCAGTACGAATAAGATTGCAAGCTTAAGAGGCATTGCAGCAAGCCTCCCCTTTAAAAAAAGAAACAATCAAAATGGTGTTTCTGATAATTGTCCCTACACCCTGCAGCAGCAGCAGCAGCATCCAACCAAGACTGTGACTAGTGGAATTTGGTCAGGTGGGGTGGTCGCCAGTGATCCTTTAGAAATAGGTTATCGATGCTACCCTCCCCTAGAGGGTATCGATAACCTGAACAATGGTTGGGTGGTCGCTGGTGATCCTTCCCTTCTATGGTTTTGTATTGCAAAAAAAGTTAAAATGTAATAGAACAGATGAGATGAGAAGGACGGTCGTTGGCGTCAGTGCCGAGGATGGAGGAGGTGTAGGGTTTAGGTAAGGTTTCACGAGCAGGGCAGGTMKAGAGATGAGAGAAAATGGAGGGGAAACAATTTCGTTTTGGTATTTTGGAGCTAACGGACGTCCCATTAGCTCCACATGAGTTCAAAGGGGGATGCATGTGGGAGGACATGCGGCGAGGCCCTATTGTGTGGGACATTTTTGGGGCACCAGCCCGTGGGGCGCAGATTCAAACACTTAATTCACTAAACTCTTCTTTGGGTTACGAGACTTCTAAGGAAAATTGGTTTATGGACGGTAACCCTCGTCCATTTTCTCCCCTTTCAAGTTCAATTTGAGTCGTATGAGAATTGGAAGAAAATTTTCATGGGTTTGGTCATCCAAAGAAGGGAGACTAGTGAGGATGGGTGTGACTAAGTAATTGAGGGTAAAAATGGTAACAAGTTTTAAATTCCACACCTCAAGATCTCTTGATGTTTTAGGAAAAAGGAAGGAGATTTGGGAGTGGGTGAGTACAAAGTTCGTTCGCATTGATGACTTGTGCTCTTCTAAGTGTTAAAAGGATGATGTGAGCTTAGAGAAGTTTGACCCCCAAGCACTTTTATTGGCTACTGAAGAAGGCACTCCACAAGGCAGGGCTACTTTTAAGGACAAAACTTTGCACTTTGAGAAAGGTTTTTACACTGTATTAGATGAGGACCAGGGGTGATAATAAAAAACCGAACCGAACCAACAAAACCAAACAAAAAATTCTGATTAACCGAACTGGTCAGTTTGGTTTTGGTTTGGTATTTTTGAAAAACCGAAAGTATCGATTCGGTTCTGGTTAACCAATATAAAAACCGGTGGTTAACTGAATCGACCGGTATATATGTATATATATTATACATACATTTATGTATATTATATATTCATATATATTTTATATTATCTTTATATTATAAATGAATATATATGCATTATATATACATAAATATATATTTATAATATATAATATATTATTTAGTATTTATAATATAATATATTATATGCATTTCTAGTATTTTTTGTTGGAGGCTACATGGGTATATTTGTAATGTTGGTAAATTTTGGGGACTTGTATGTATTTATGGGAGGAATAGGGGCCTATGTGAAATTTTGATATGATTGGGTCTTTTGGTGTGTGGGATTAGGGTCGAGTGAGTGGATATTTTGTTGTGAGTTTGTAGAGAGGTGGTTCTCATAGTGAATATTTTTTCCTATCTTCTTGTGGATGTAGTCTATCGAGCCAAACCATGTTAAATCTTGGTGTTTTCTCTATTTCTTCCTATCTTCTTGATTTGCTATTTGATTTTGTGTTAGTTGACATTTTATTATATATTTATATATTTATTTATAATATGTACTATAAATTTAAAAAAAAAACGAAAAATCGACGAACTGAACCAGTTGGAAATCAAACCGGTCAACTAGTTAACCGCTGGGCTTCCATTTGGTTTCGGTTAGAGGTGTAAATCAGGTCGTGCCAGGCCCAACACGACCATGTGGGTCGTGTTGGGCCTGGGATTTTAGGTCCACGGGTTGGCACGGCATAGCACGACACGGGTCGGGCTGGCACGGCCCATATATATTATAATTACATAATAATATATAGTATATAATATATTAATAAAATATATTTTTTAATTTTATTGTACTAATTTATTTAATTATTGCA